AAAAAGTAATAAAAGTCCAAAATAATGTGAAAAAATTTCAGTTTAAGAAAGAGAAAATATATAAGAGATATATATTAAGTTAAGCTTAAATTAAAATACATAACAATAACATAAGTATATGATGATGAGAGAAACCAGAAAATTGAAAGTGCTTCAAAGAAAGATAGAAAATTATTGGTACATGTTTTGATTCGACATACTTTGTAACACCTACTTGGTTCAACTAATAAAATATGACTACAACTTAATCGGTTTTTATATTTTATATGTATTGTTGCATTTTTAAGTTTATATATCTTTAATTGTAGACTAAAATAATAATTTTTTAATAAATATATTGTATAGTGTGTAAAAAGAAGGATGTATCAATTAATGTCTTAGAAAGAAAGATATATAATAGATCACTAATTGGTATATGCATACTATTAACATATTCATTAAAAAATTATTATTTTTTAATTTAAAATTAAATATAAATAAACTTAAAGGTACAGTTATACATACATGATATCAGAACTAGATAAATCGATTATATTTATATAATATTTGAGGATAATAATAGGTTTACCTTCATTATCCACTTATTATCCACACACTTGGTTACATCTTTTAATTTTCGTTATTTTCTAGGTTAAACCCCCATTTTGGTCCCTCAACTATGGTACGGACCCCCGATTTGGTCCCTCAACTCAATAAATCCCTGATTTGGTCCCTACTGTTTACCATTTTGACCCCAACTTAGTCCTTCTGTTAAAAATCCAATGACGTGTCTTGGTGATCGACGGTTACATGATGACATGTCAAATTTTTAACACACGTGGCACGAAAACATGACAAAAAGTGATGACATGGAAAAAACTAATAATATGACAAAAAAATTAATATGACCAAAAAAAAATTCTTTCCTTTTTGTTTTTTTCCCCTTTCTGTTTCACTTTCTCTTCCTCTTGGAACCCAACGACTGCTGGGTTCCTTTGAACCCCGATGGAACCCAGGCGTTGGGTTTCTCTTCCCTTTAGAACCCAACGCTTGTTGGGTTCCTTCGAACCCCGATGGAACCCAGACACTGGTTTTCTCTTCCCTTTAGAACTCAACACTTGCTGGGTTCAAAGAAACCCAGCATGTCTAGGTTCGAAGGAACCCAGCATGCCTGGGTTCAATGGAACCCAGGCATGCTGGGTTCCTTCAAACCTAGGCGTTGGGTTCCTTTGAACCCAGCACGCCTAGGTTCAGAAACTCTCCATTTTTACCTCCAGTTGCTCAGCCACCGTATTCCTCCCCACACAAAGAAGCAGAGGAAGAGGAGAGATCGTCATCGTCTTTACTCCATCATTTGCTTTTGCTTCTTCTTCGATTCTCTCTCTCTTTCGCTAAATTCGTCATCAATTTCCTATTCAAGTAAGCTTTCTCGATCGTTTAGCTTTGAGGCTTTGTCTTTCTAATTTGAGATTACGATGGATCAATCTATGTTTGGTTGATTTGATGATTCTGTCACTCGTTTTGATGTTTTTGTGCTATTGAAAGTGAGATCTGTGTGTAAATTGAAGATCTCTGTTGTCGATTTTGCAATTTTAATTTGTTCTGGCTTTAGTTGGTTTCAGTGATTGCTTTATTTGGTTTCCTGATTTGGTTTTTTGGTCTTTGGATCTATGTTTTATTATGCTACTACTGGCTAGTTGGATTGCCTGGATTCTGATAGTAGTGTTCTTTCAAACCCAGGTGTTGGGTTCTTCCAACCCAACACACCTGGGTTCGATGAAACTTGTGTTCTTTCGAACCCAGAGGCAAAAAAAAAAAAAAAAAAGAAAAAAAAAAAGAGCGGGAAGAACATATGGAGAATTGATTGATGAAGAAGACAAGATAAGGAAGAGGAAGGAAAAAGAAAGGGCGCTTGCTGAGGAACCCAGCACGCCTGGGTTCCATTGAAGAGGTTGTTGTTCTAGGGTTCGAATGGGAAGAACAGAGAAGAAGGGTTCAATTTCTGCAGGGGTGGGGCCCACTTTTTTTTTTGGTTTGATTATCGGTGAGAATGAAACATGTCATATTGCCATATCATCTTGTTTCCAGGGTTTACATCTGACATGTCACATTATTTTGACGTGTTATTGTGGTCCCGTTAATTAACGGGACACGTCATTGGTTTTTTAACAGAAGGACCAAGTCGAGGTCAAAATGGTAAACAGTAGGGACCAAATCAGGGATTTATTGAGTTGAGGGACCAAATCAGGGGTCCGTACCATAGTTGAGGGACCAAAATGGGGGTTTAACCTATTTTCTATTAATTATATCTTAACTCCGTTACCATCTTTCCTTTTTCCTCTTTTCTGTTCACCATCCTCACTAACCAGACCAAAACTTGCAATTTCATCTCGGTTCTTTGATTTTCAACCTTCTTTGGTCACCTCCTTTCTTTTTCTTCTTTCCCTCTCCTCCCCTCTTTTTCCTTCTCTCAAATCTGGGTTCTCCAAGAGAACCCGTCGAAAAGGATGATGGAGGAGAGAGAAAAAAAAAAGAGAAAGAAAGAGAAAGAAGATAATGGATGAAGAGGATGAGGATGGAGGTGAAGAGGGTTCTTTGATTTTCAATCTTGTTTTCTCCCTTCCTCCTTTCTTTTTCTTCTTCCCCATGGGTTCTTTTTCAAGAGAACCTAGATTTGGGTTCTCTTGAAGAACCACGTGGGTTCTTATGGAGAATCGGGTTCTCTTGGAGGAGGATAATGGAGGAGAGAGAAAAAAGACAGAGGAAGAAGAGAATGGAGGTGAAAAGGAAGATGGATCTGGCTGGTGAGGACAATAAACAGCAAAGAAGAGAAAGCGAATATGGTAACGGAGTTAAGATGTAATTAACGGAAAGTAACTGAAATTAAAGGGTGTAATGGAGTGTGTATAATGAGGGTAAACCCATCATTATCTAATATTTTAATAACTGAATTGAGTGGTATTGAAGAGTGTTAAATTAAAGGGTATACTAATCATTTTTTT